GGCAACTAGGAATCGTAGTCCCTTTCTCGTCGTGTCCTTCCTATTTGCCATTCATTCTAGAAACTGGGTTATTCGCGCGATCGTTCCACGTTCTATCTATCTCGGTAGCTTCTCAACCGAGAGGAATCACCTCTGCTAAGATTCGAATTCGATATCGGGGCTTTCTGTGTAGTCTGGCTTCCGTACGATCCATATATCCTGAAGGCTCGATTATCAGGATGCCTGGCATAAATCGAAAGATCATTCACCAGCTTTAACGATCCATAAATAACAACTGTACAATTTGCTTGGTACGCGATAGACTGAAAATAATACTAAACCAAATAATGCCATTTCAATTCCTTTTACAACTTATTATAAAATAGTTTCCATATTTGTCTAATTATTATTATTATTATTATTATTATTATTATTTTTAGGTTTAAAAGAATTTTCTAAGTACACAATAAACTAAAAGTAATACTAAACCAAATAATGCTATTTCAATACCTTTTACAACTTATTATAAAATAGTTTCCATATTTGTCTAATTATTATTATTATTATAATTATTTTTAGATTTAAAAGAATTTGCTAGGTACACAATAAACTAAAAGTAATACTAAACCAAATAATGCTATTTTTATTTATTTTATTACTTATTAAGAGATAGTTTTCAAGTTTGTCTAATTATTATTATTACTAGGTTTAAATAAATTTTACCTAAATACTAGGTACCCGATAGGTTGAAAGTAATACTAAACCAAATAATGCTATTTTAATTTATTTTATAATTTATAACGATTCTAAATACTTTACAAATTTTTATTAATTATTATTATTATTATTATTAATATAATTATTATTATTATTACTAGGTTTAAATAAATTTACTAGGTACCCGATAGGTTGAAAGTAATACTAAGCCAAATAATGCTATTTCAATTTATTTTATAATTTATAACCATTCCAAATAGTTTATAAATTTTCCAAATAATAATAATATTATTATTACTATTATTATTATTATTACTAGGTTTAAATAAATTTGCTGAATACACAATAAACTGGAAGTAATACTAAACCAAATAATGCCATTTTAATTCCTTTTACAACTTATTATAAAATAGCTTCCAAGTTTGTTTAATTAATAGCACTATTAATATTATTATTACTATTATTATTACTATTATTATTACTATTATTCTTACTATTATTCTTATATTAGGTTAAAGTAAATTTTGCTAGATACTCAATAGATTGAAAGTAATACTAAACCAAATAATATTATTACAATTTATTTTATAACTCATTACCACTCCAAATAGTTTCTAAATTTTTTCTAATTAATATTATTATTATTATTGTTATTAGGTTTAAATAAATTTGCTAGGAACGCGATAAACTGAAAATAATACTAAACCAAATAATGCTACTTCAATTTATTTTAAAACTTATTACAAAATAATTTCCAAATTTGTCTAATTATTCTTATTGTTATTATTACTATTAATATTATTAGGTTCGCATCTAGTATACTTTACTTTTAAAATAGAAAGTTATTCTAAATAACAATTTTATTCTCCAGTAAATTAAATATCTATTTTTTTTTTCTTTTTCTTGCATTGGTTATTTTATTTAAGACAATTTGCAAGCAATATTTATTCGTTTGTCGGATGATTTAATTTAAATGGAAAATGATATTTTCGGATGAAATTTAATCTAACGCCATATTCTTAACAACATTCTACGAGATATCAAATTGAAGATTTTAAACACAATAGATATAACGAGAACACAAGGGAAATTTTCAACGTGCCTAAAAAACGTAAATTAAACAGTCAAACGGATGGAAGAACTTTTCTCTTCTGGCTCGTAAATAGTTTGCAAGTTGGCTTTGGAAAGTTGCCTACAACGACCGACTGCAACGTACGAGAGACTGACTGTCCATTAAATCACCGGGTGGTGGCGGGTCCTTCATCGAAGACTATAGTCGCCCTAATATCAGAGAACAAATTAATCACAAAGTCAACGGGCCGTCAACTCGTTTAATGATCTCACGTCGTTATTTTAACTTTCACTATCTCCACTCTGCTGTGAATTTTCCCTAATTTTCTTTTTCTTTTTTTTTTGACGAGAAAATTGCCAAATCCACGTGTACCATGGTGACTTTTAATTTATCATCGATATTTACTATTTAAACAATTTCTTTTAATTTAATTATCATTAAAATAAAATCGATTATTTTATCAATATTTTTTTAGAAAGATACAATAATCTTAAAAAACATTTCGTAAGCGTACCAATCTTAATAAACATTCGATTACATCGTTTTACTTCCGACATACTAATTTGCGATGATTAAAATAATACAAAGATTGTAATTATCGAGAAAAAGAAGGTGTGTTTAATTTAAGATTCATAAGACAACAAAGCAATAAATTACTCTGTTTTTTTCTTCCAGAAATTATTTTTACAAAAACACGTCAGACGAGAACATTATTCTTCATTTTACAATGAAAATACCAAATTAATTAACGTAAAGTTTAAAACGTGGAGCAGCGTACAAAACCCATGGAGGGGGGGGGGTAGGGTGCAGCACGTAACAGTGTTGTGTTAATCGTTTCATATACAAAATTATAAGATTATTATTTGAAACGTAATAAAACGCGAATGATTATTATTTAAACTATACCAATAACGTAGAATATTTGCAATGGACGCTAATAGAAAGAACACATAATTATTATTAAAATACAAGTCTTCATAAAGTAGAAATTGTCTTGAAAGAAAATTGGCAAATAATGGTTGAAGAACATTTTCTATTATAATAATTGAACAGAATAGAAAAGAAGAAGATAGGGTGTTGGATAAGATCGTCGTGACAGTTTTTGTCTTTAAAAAAAAAAAAAAATTAAAAAACCTTTATTTCTTAAGACGTTCCATTCGAGTTATTATTCCATTCGAAAGGGCTTTTCCCTTTATCGAGGTGGGCGAGGAGGGGGATAGGTAACAACGATGCCAGGAAAACACGATTTAATTCGAACGTCCACGTGCTCAATTGTTCCTAATTTAATTGCTTACCTCGTTAAATTTCATCTCTTCGTCAGAAAAGACGTTACGTTCGCGAACGAATAACGGTTTGGGACGACGTTCGAGAGGATTCTTGTCAGATCCGACCTGTCGCACATAATGATCTTATGGAAGGGAAGTATAATAATGTCATTATGAAACGAAATGAGAAAGACAAAGATAGAGAGAAGGAGGAGAGAGATTCACTAAAATCACGTTTTAAATCTGCAATTGTGTTAATTCATGCATTACACGTGTAAAATTATAACAATAAAAATGTATGAATCAAAGTATATGGATAAAAACGCTGATTATCTAAAATATGTATATTTATATACGTGACAGTGGCTGTGGCTGTTGCGGCTTTGTCATAAAATTTTGATTTAATATAATTCTAAACTATTTTGTAATTAATAATAATAAACAAAATAATGTCACAATTAGAACTGAATACATAAAATAATAATACTCGAAAAAATATCAAAAGTAAGATTAGTTATGCCATATGTAAATCTGAAAAAAACGTGAAATTATTGAATTGTAATACAGCGCCACAGCGCCATCTGTAGGAAACTTACAGTACCTAAAGACCTAGATAAATTAAACATATATATATATTTATTTATTTATTTAACTTAATTTTAAGTTAATAGTAATATTACTAATATATAATATTTATTTATGTATAATATATATTTATATTATAATATAATATATTATATAATTAATATTAATTATTAATTATTATTATAATATATTATATAATTATATATAATAAATATATAAATATATATTTGGTATATTTATTATATATTAATATTAATATCTTATTATTTATTAATAATATTATATATAATATTATTTTATATATATATATATATTTATATTATATTTATATTGTGCAACTTATTACCATAAAACTAGCAAAATAAATTGTCGGGACCATGTAATACATAAAAATTATTTCTATGCACGTTATACAAGTTTCAACTAAAAATATTATAAATGCATTTAATAGTGATGACGATATATTCTTATTGGATATGTACACATTAATCATAGGAACGTCTCTGCATTCCGGTATCATAATCTCAACATCAATCGATCTTAACATACGCATAGAAGATGACGTGTCAAAGAGGTATGACGCGATCTGAGATCATGTTGCTAGGGGATATTAAATAAACGGCCTTCGTGTATGATTTCATTATGATCATCGTTATTAAGAATCTACACATTTTTTTTTTGTTTTTCATTGTTATTATTCTTATTACGTTAAACGAATATTGTTAATATCAGAAATAAAATAAAAAAGGAATCGTGCATTAACGTGATGACGTAGAATGCAAAAATACGATAGAATATTCGATAATATAATATATAATAATTTATTCGAGTGTTTTTTCAATTGTATCAAAACTTTAAAAATAATATGATAAAAGCTTCGATCAAAAAGAAAAAAAGAATCACACCCTTAGTTTCTTTATGATGTTCGTATAATGATATTATCAGAAAGACGACTGTTTCCTTATCGAAAGAAATTTCTTTTTTCTTTTATAAACTGTTGTTTATCGAAATATACATAATGCATTACGATAAGTATCAAAATCAAATCCTCTTGCTGATACGCTTGCAACTTACATATCATTAAATACACCGAACACAAATATACAATTTTTATAATATGGAATTTATATAAATATAATTAACTAAACTATATTATAAAAATAATAATAATAATTTAAATTAATTATATATTATATTATAAAAATATTCATATTAAAATAAATAAGATAACATTTCGAATTTGTACGTTCGTGGATTGATTCGTAGACGTTTTAACACGTTATTAGAAAATCTAGAAATATAAATGAGAAAAGATAAAAACACATACACACGACGATTATATTTTCTATATAAAATTTTTCATTTTTTTTTTTTTTTTGCAGATGCGGCATCCGATCCAAATGAAACCAGCAGATAGCGAGAATAGAAACGGTAAGTAAAAAGCATTTTTATTCTCTCGTCACAGACGATTTGTCCACAGAAATATTGGAAATATGAATAATATTATTATTATTGTATTTTTATTCTTAAACACAATCGATACAGTATTATCTTATTTTTAAAATATCTTTTTTTTACTCTTCAAACATACTTTCATTTAAATATCATCTTTATTCGATCCACAATCCTCGTTATTCGTGTTATTTGAATTCGTTGATATCTTACTAAAAAAATGATTCCCATTCAAACATCTGTTACTACCATTATTTTAAATGATATTGAACAAGAGCAGCATTTTTTTCTTTTTTCAAAAAAAAAGAAAAAAGAAAAGAGAAACAACAGGATTATCGTTTAGTAATTTACAAACGTAACTTAATAAAAAACGTAGTGTAGGAAAACTATGTCACGTCTCTTCTTGTAGAATATCATATAAGGGAAGTTAGAACTCTCTTTGGATGTTGAGAATACAGTTCAAAGCGTACTCATTAAGTGTTAATTAATTGGATAAATCGAGGGATCGTCGAGAGATTGTATAATCAAAGAAGATACGATATATATACTCATGAAACATTAAATGACAAAGATAATGATTAAAACTAATAGAAAGACGATATTAATCAGTTAACTGAGTTTGCCGAGTATACTCGTCATGGAAAAGTAACAGGATTTTGTTTCATGACTAGTATATTCGTTATATGCGTAAAACATAGCAATTATTTGCTATTTAAATTGTATTTTTTTTTTTTAAAGCGAATCATATTCTAACATTTCACAATTAGTAAGAAGAAATTCAAGATTTATAAATTACTATTATTTTTCTTTTATTTTTAAAGTTCCTTTTATCACGAAAATGTGCAATTTTAACCTCAAAATTCGTCATCGGTCGATTTTAGCGACACATAGCGGTGCACACTTTCAAAATGGAGCGCCACAGTTAACGGGTTAAATAGAGAGAAAAAACAGAAGTATTACAAAAATTAAATAATAAAAAGATAAGGAAAACGGATGTGAATGTTAAGATAAAAAAAATAAAGAAAAAAACGAATCCATTAGTTTATTTTATCCTCAACATGAATAATTTTAACCTCGAAACTCGTCATCGGTTGATTTTAGCGACACACAGCGGTGCACACTTTCAAAATGGAGCGTCAAAGTTAATTAGTTAAATAGAGAAAAAAAACAGAAGTATTAAAAAAACTAAATAATAAAACGAGAAAGGAAAACGTATGTGAACTCTAAGATAAAAAAAAATAAAGAAAAAAACGAATCAATTAGTTAATTTTATCATGAAAATTTGCAATTTTAACCTCAAAACTCGTCATCGGTCGATTTCAGCGACACACAACGGTGCGCACTTTCAAAACCAAAGTTTATTGCTTAAATAGAGAAAAAAACAAAAGTATTAATAAAATAAAATAATAAAAAGGGATGAAAAATGTATGTAATCATTAAGATAACAAAAATAAAGAAAAAAACGACTCAATTAATACATTTTATCCTCAACATAAGTAATTTTAACCTCAAAACTCGTCATCGGCCGATTTCAGTGATACACAGCGGTGCGCACTTTCAAAATCTAAGTTAACTGGTTAAATAGAGAAAAAAAACAAAAGTATTAAAAAAATTAAATAATAAAAAGGGAAGGGAAAATATCTGTGAACTCTAAGATAAAAAAAAAAAACAGGAATGAAATTGGCATGCTCAAAATAGGTAAATTTAATGAAATTTTCATAGGTCGCACGTTGTTGTTAGATAGAAGAAGGAGAAGAAGAAGAAGAAGAAAAAAAAAAAGCAAAGTAATCTTCACGAATCCTTACTTATTTTTTTATTCATGTGCATATACGAGACCTCGATGTAGAAAACTATGAGGGAGAGTTGAACAAAAATGAGAGAACGAGTGAGAGAGAGAGACAAATAAAGGATGGAATAACGTCGGAAGAATGAAAAGGAAGAAGAAAGGGAGGAACGGGAGGGGTGTTGGGGGTTAGGCTTATAAAATCTGTGCGTCAGTCAGTGCGAAAAACGAATGCTAATGAAATATTAACGACACCCGTCACGTGCTACGACGGTAACCGGCTGGGGGTCGCTAGTGGTAATGCTTTTTGTTCTGTCTGTATTTCCTTTTTTTTCTTTTTTTCTTTCCTTCTTTCTCTCTCTCTCTCTCTCTCTCTTTTCATCCCTCTCTTTATTCCCCTCTTTTTTTATTTCTCTCCCTCATTTTTCTTTTTCGCATACGAATCGTAGGACTAACAATGTTGCGCGTTACAAGTGCCATAGTGAAAGAGTTCCGGTACGCACGTGTTACATTTAAATATATGTGTACAATGACTATGTATGTATTAGTATGTATATTATGTTAAAAAAACTATGTACGTGTTTATAAAAATATTAACGTGTCTTTTTATATATATTTTTGATTGTGTGTATGTTCGTCTGTAAACATATACACTAATTGTCAAAATTATTCGAACATCTTGTAAAATGATTAAAAATCTAGTTAAATGTAAAAGTATTTAAAATTTATCTGAAAATGTGAAATGAGTAACCAATTTTTGTTTGTACAAAAAAAATAAAAAAAAAATTAAACAATACGTTCATCAAAAATATGTAATTCTAATCTCATTAATACAATTGATTTAAATTAATTATAATATAATATTATAATAATATATTTAACAAAAAATATAACAAAAAATTAAACATTATTATATTCATCAAAAAAATATATAATTTTAATCGAATTAATACAATTGATTTAAATTAATTATAATATAATATTAAAATAATATATTTAAAAAAAAATTTTTTTAAATTAAACATTATTACATTAATCAAAAAATATATAATTCTAATCGAATTATACAGTTCATTTGAATTAATTATAATATACCATTATAATAATTTATATTATTATAATATAACTAATAATAATTAAAAATTAAATATTTCTGTAAGTAAAATAAGTTTATGCAATTAGTGTACATGTTAACAGATTATTATTCGTATAAGTATGTATGTTATATATGAAATCTATTGAGGTATATGATAAATGAAATAAAAATATTTTTCATACATATGTCGAGCTACGAGATGCCGAGACTAACGAGAGAAAATAAGAAAAATAAAAATGAGAAGAATAGAGTATGGCTTTTAAGCGCCATTGAGAAAACGTGCCTTGAAAGATCCCTCGACGCGTGCCAAGTATGCGATAAGTGAGAATTATACTAGAACGAGTGGATGGGTATTAAAAGTGCCATTTGTTTTACCTGCTTATATTGTAGAAAGAGACCGATGTTGCTCCTACAATCGTTTTGAATAATTTAACCACCGAGATAATTCATGCAAACATAAGCACACGAACATATTTGAATACTGTTTGAACATCATCATCCTCTTCTTTATCTTCTTCTTCATTTTTCTTCATCTTCATCATCATGACTGATAACGAAATCAAAATTGAAAGTATTCTCTTTTTTTTTTTTTTTTTTACACGAAACGTATATACAGTAATAATACATCGTTAATACGAATCAATTAAATTACACAAAATTATTGACAAATTAATACAAGAACAAAACTTTCTTATAATAAAACAAACGTGTACGGTAAGAATTCAATTAATTGTCTTTCGCGTGCACAAAATACAAAATATACAAACTTTATATTATAGGGAAGTTGAACAGGTGAAAAAAATCAGAACATATTGTTGTGATCTTATTGAAATTTGTCTCTTAATAAAAATAAGGACTTCTTCAGCAACTATAAAATACAAAGATAACATAACCTTAAAAATACATAGTTCTTCAAAACGCTGAATATATAATAATACTTTTTTTTATTTATACCTCGATCATTAATGTTCCGGGTCTACTATGTATTGCAAAGACATACATTATATATTTTTATTATTTTTTTATAACGCATACACTAGACTTAGCACTAATACATCGTGATTGATTAAAAATTCGTTTGTAACGTCATAAATTTAAAATTAAACAGCTAATACGATACTAAATTATTAACAGTTCATTTCATTTTATATAAACGATGAATATATATTTTTAATTTATCTATAACATAAATTTATTTATATACAAAATAATAAATAATATCTTATCAAAGCTTTAAGAACAAATAAATTAAATTAAACAAAAATATTGGCAAATTAAAACAAGAATCAAACTTTTCTATAATAAAACAAACGTACAATAAAAATGCTAATACAATACTAAATTATTAACAGTTCATTTCATTTTATATAAACGATGAATATATATTTTTAATTTATCTATAACATAAATTTATTTATATACAAAATAATAAATAATATCTTATCAAAGCTTTAAGAACAAATAAATTAAATTAAACAAAAATATTGGCAAATTAAAACAAGAATCAAACTTTTCTATAATAAAACAAACGTACAATAAAAATGCTAATACAATACTAAATTATTAACAGTTCATTTCATTTTATATAAACGATGAATATATATTTTTAATTTATCTATAACATAAATTTATTTATATACAAAATAATAAGAAAAATGTCTTTTCAAAGCTATAAAATTACCTGTGATGATATAAACAACGCGCTAAGAAATAATATTGTTTTTCTTAGTCTAATCTATTTCTTCTTTCTTTCTCTCTCTTTCTTCTCTCTCTTTCCTTATTAGATCAAAAAACAACCGCAGGAGGAGACCAAGGTAAAGCATAAATCTTCATTACGTAATGAAATATGAAAGAAACTTGGTAGGATGAGAGAGAGAGAGAGAGAGTTTATTTTCTTTTAAAAAAGAACTACAACTACTCTTCCTTTTTGTCCCCCACTTCACTTCCCTATCCTTCCACGGTGTTGATGCACATTTCGTTAAGACGATTTTAGAAGCGTCTTCGAAGGAAGACACGTCGATCAAGATAAAATGAAAGAAAGAGAAATCAAGATAGATAGTTAGATAGAAAGAAATAGAAAGAAACAGAAAGAGAAAGAGA